TAATGTCCCGATTTACGACAAAATATAGAGAAGAGGAAAACTCGAAAAAGTGATATGTGTGTTTCATGTAACCTTCACAATGATCTGCAGATAGAAATTAGAAAAACGGACAAACAATCTGAAATCGCGAGGTCATCAAACTCATGTTGATGTTAAAGCGCCTTGGCAAGGTATTTAAAGTATTTATATCCAGTTATTTTTTGAATATTCAGTTATTTAAAACATTTAAAAATTGTCAAGTCTAATTTTTCAAAACAAAATTCATTTTTAAACAACTCATTGATTTTTAGTTGGCAGATGTTAACTGTGTTTGAATTGTTTACATAACACAGACAGTGTGAAGTCCCGGTTCAGGACCATTCAACCTTAAATTAAAGGGCAAACCCTGTATTGAACAACTTTCAATCGCATCTTTTGCTAAGTTAACAAAAAACCCGACTGCGATTCACTCTCCAAGGTGAGAAGAACCTATACAATAGCTTTGGAACTGTTTCTGCGACAAATAACTTTCCGTAGACTCTTTTGTAGGGTTGAAATACTTTGTTGTGTAAACAACCACATCCTGAATTGAGTTTCGCTTGAAACACCTGTAGTCGCAAATGAAATAAAATATGTATATGCTATTTGATTATCCTTAGTTTTTTTGCCATCGTAGTAAGATCAAAATAATGCTAAAGGAAAGTCTTAACAGAACACGGAATCAGAGATGAGTTTTGGCTAACCATTTTTTGTAAATAATTAAACGATATGTTCGGTCGTCCAGCTATCCAATCAGAGCATGTCCTGATCCTAGGGGTAAACGCAATTATCATGAAAAAGATTATTACACCGGATGCACCAACTGCTATATCATGTTCCTTATTAGGTTTCCAATCTGTTTTTCTATTTACAAAACACCATGACGTGATCTAGTATTCGGTAAAATCTCTCGGCCTGCGCAGATCAGAGGGTTTCACCGGACACACAAAAAGATGGTCATTAAATGAGCTGTGTCACGAAATTTATCAAAAAAAATTCAAACAATAGGAACGGCCACCAAATTGTGTGAAGAAGATTGAATCAAAGGGATGAAAATTGTGGGTTTTAAAAATTTGTTAGTTTTCCAAGTTCATTTTTGTTGGCTTGGGAAGCTGTGATTTTGTCACTTTCTTTGCTACGGTTAAGTTTCTCACGGTTTACGGAACAAATTCAGTAATATTAACAAAATGAACTAGAAAGCTTAGACTCCCCCCCCCCTCCCCCTTAAAAACCCACTCAACAATTAAGCCTATGCAGCTGTTTATATTTATCGACCCTTATGTTGCTCTTCCCACCAGTTTTGCCCCGCATAAGTAGTTTTGTTCTCGCAAAATGTGTTGATTTGAAAGGATTATAGAGCGAACAAACCGCTCCCAATAAAATCAAAAAAATGGCCACAAATAGGCCCGAGGACCACATAGCATAGGAAAGAAGAAACCACATGGGCGGCAGAGCAGGAAGGGCAAGGGGGTCCGTAGCCCCCCAAACAAAAATGTGGGGGGCAGAGCTCCCCCACGTTTTGGTACCGAAAAACTAACACTTTTACGGATTTATTTAAAGCTATTTGACAATACCCGTGACATCGGTGACTTCAGAGCGAAAATATTTGCTCTCAGACGACTAAAGAACTAGAATAAAAGTGGTTTTCCAAGGAATCGTTCTAACTATCGACGTATCTACGATCTATGACATATAATATTCTACAACAATAAAATATATAAAAGACATTTACTAAAATCCAACTAGTGGTCTGTTATCAATGCTGCGTTCTGATTGGTTGAGCTACTACTAGGCTATATGTTATAGCCCACTAGTAGAGAAAAACGCCAGCTTTTTGGCGGCAAAAAAGGAATAAAGTCTGTCTTTAACTAGCTTTTTTTTTATTCTCGATATTTTTGACCAACTAGTTGGATTTTACTAAAACAATTATTCCCTTCGCCCTCATGGGCTATTGACTCAGAGCAGAGCCANAAATTCAGTAATATTAACAAAATGAACTAGAAAGCTTAGACTCCCCCCCCCCCTCCCCCTTAAAAACCCACTCAACAATTAAGCCTATGCAGCTGTTTATATTTATCGACCCTTATGTTGCTCTTCCCACCAGTTTTGCCCCGCATAAGTAGTTTTGTTCTCGCAAAATGTGTTGATTTGAAAGGATTATAGAGCGAACAAACCGCTCCCAATAAAATCAAAAAAATGGCCACAAATAGGCCCGAGGACCACATAGCATAGGAAAGAAGAAACCACATGGGCGGCAGAGCAGGAAGGGCAAGGGGGTCCGTAGCCCCCCAAACAAAAATGTGGGGGGCAGAGCTCCCCCACGTTTTGGTACCGAAAAACTAACACTTTTACGGATTTATTTAAAGCTATTTGACAATACCCGTGACATCGGTGACTTCAGAGCGAAAATATTTGCTCTCAGACGACTAAAGAACTAGAATAAAAGTGGTTTTCCAAGGAATCGTTCTAACTATCGACGTATCTACGATCTATGACATATAATATTCTACAACAATAAAATATATAAAAGACATTTACTAAAATCCAACTAGTGGTCTGTTATCAATGCTGCGTTCTGATTGGTTGAGCTACTACTAGGCTATATGTTATAGCCCACTAGTAGAGAAAAACGCCAGCTTTTTGGCGGCAAAAAAGGAATAAAGTCTGTCTTTAACTAGCTTTTTTTTTATTCTCGATATTTTTGACCAACTAGTTGGATTTTACTAAAACAATTATTCCCTTCGCCCTCATGGGCTATTGACTCAGAGCAGAGCCATTCCAACTCGAGCAATAATTGTTAACTATAGAAATTAGAAAAATGTGTATATACACATATGATAAAAATACGGATTTTATCATATTCAGCCGGATCTGAAAATAACAATCTTTCCCATTCAGTGAGGTCTTGAAGTCTCTTAAGATGGGCAAAGTTCTCAACACAGGGGAAATCCTATTCCATAGAACCGATCCTCGATACTGTAGGCTCCCCTTTCCAAACTCAGTCCGAGGTCTAGGAATGTAGTAATTTAACGCTGAGTTTCTATGGTTATAAGCAAGAACATTTGCTGTATCGGTAAAGATCTGCTTCAAGTATGATGGGAAAAGATTATTGTGCATCTTGTACATGCAGACAGCAAGTTGTTTCCACCTAGAAGTTTCTTGAAGTCTTTCTCAACCAAGCTCATCCAACAGCACTTTTAAGCGACCTCCTACCTTAAAAAAAGTGAGAATTCTGGCAATATCGTAAATCATTTATGTAAATCTAGTCACGATTTTCTGAGGCTTTTATCTTAGGCTATCTTAAAAAATACCTTTACCTCAAAAATTAAATAAGATATATACACCTAATATGATCTACCCTTAATTCGATTTCTAGAGCTATGTATAATCCACTTACTGGGCATTACCAACTCACATCAGACTCAGACTTGATTTGACGATTTGATTATTTGATTAATCATTTGTACTGATAGTCTTAGAATTAAGACTCCGGGAACTCAAAATTACATTAGGCAAAACATCTGTAGTGTCTTTTGATGTAATTTTTCTGTTCAAATTGAAATTGAACCTATGAGATGAAAGTTGTGGTATAACTTCCCACTTGCTTTGTAACAGTTTTATAAGGTTATCCTTGCTTCTCCATCAAAAACAATAAGCACGCAAAGGTAAATGGTTTCTGCTGAATATTCTGATACAGATCAATAAGTAAAAGATTAGCCAAATCAAATCATTAGAAGTCGTTCTAATTTACCCAAGATCTGGTGCCAATTTTGAAATCAAAGTCATCTCAAACCGCCGACATGGCCACGCAGCCCCAAGCCGGTGTATTAAAGAACGATAAATGAGGCCAATTTCATCTTTGGTCACTGGCATGTAATTTCATTTTTGATTTTTTCCCCCGAGAAATTAAGCTTTTAAAATCAGGTCGTGTACAATCAAGGGATCTAAAGAAGTAAGTTTCTGACAACAACGAATTAAAGTAATTCTTATTCTGCTAACAAAATTCTATACAGAGCAGGGATCATCAAAGAGAATTAAAACTCTCGCTGCTATCTCTCTGCACTCATAGTTAGTTTACAAGGAAATAAGCGCGGTTCTGCAGACGCAGGAAGGAGCAAAGACCTATTATGTCCTTACAAACGAACAGTGTAAAGAGGAGTGTGGCTGGAATATTGACTCCAGTGACCTTCACTTTTACAATTTGGTTCTTAAAAAAAGTCGACAAAAATAGCTGTGGTAATTTTTTTTAGCTTAGTGTATTAAGGGAGAAAATGCCATGGATGTGAAGAAGCCAGAAGGTACATAGTGCATCAAAATGGAAGATTTCTTAACATGAAATTCTCGAGCCTTACTGCTGTAACACTTTTGTTGTAAGACTTGCTAACACCAATAATGTATTCCATGCCATCCAGAAAAAGACAAAAATTACATTTGTTCGATTATATATTGATGTCCTTTATAAGTGCTTTCGGTGTTTACTAATAGCCAAAGTGCTGCGGTAATTTTAATTTTCAACAAAGTTAATTAGTGGGTTTTGGAATACCAAAATGTCCTACCTACAGGTAACTTGTACTGCTTTGGCACCGGAGCGAGGGATATCATCTCTACATTTCTGCGCAATGCTCCCTTACCGCATTTTGGGAAGTTGATTTGATGCAGTCTTTTGCGCGCAAACTTATCAGCCCGCTCCTTGGAGCAATTAAGTCTTGTATTGTGAACCTATGATTAAACAGATGGCTGGTATCTTTGTGGACTCAGTAGCTCAACCATCTGCTAAAATTAAGTGCATTCCTAGCTATGAAAATAATAATTTTCGGTTTCAAAGGGAAACATTTCTGACCAGCTTTTTTTCCGGAAGATCCAACTTAATTGATGCCCGGAGCTATGGGCAGCAGATTGTAAGCAGTGGTTTTGTAATTATTTCAGTCTTTGCGTGTTGTACACAATTTGACTCTCTCTTCCAAAAACATAACGGCCGGAAAATGAGAAACATTACTCGTGCAGCTGTTAACTTCAGAAAAACCCCTCTTGCTTGTGCAATGAGATTAGTTCTTGGAATCTTAATTGGTTCTCAGTGCTGTATTTGCCATAGGTAAGTTTTAAACGCGTTTTTATGTCGCTATTAAGTCGTTAATTTTACGTCGCAAAAATGTTAAATCAAGGAGTGCTCAACGAAGAAGCATCTCACGAGAAATAACAAACAAAATAAAAGTTCATAATTCCTACGCAAACAACGCCCAACGTTCACTCACAAAACTGAGCTGAAAAAATACTCATTTTCTCATTTAATCCGAGAAAAGTAGGAGTATTTGATTGCTTTAAGCCTTTGACTGTGTGTTCACGCTAATTTAAGATCAGTTTCTAAACTCATAAAAAACTCATTCTGGCCATCCACAGATACTGCTGTGAAATTTTTGCATGTGAAATTGGAATCTTGAGCTTTGGAATCCGGACTACGGTTCAAGGAATCCGAAATCCTACAAAGACTGGAATCAACAAAGTATCTAAAGTATAGTGTCTGGAATCCTGAATCCATGGCGTGGAATCTAAAATCAAAGGCTGTCTTTGATTTGCGTATTATGGACGAAAAAGCAATCGTGCCAACATAATTATTAGTGCTTGAGTGTGGTAGGTTTTAAGGACTTTCACAAACGCATTACACTGAACCAAACTATGGGTAACGTAAAGGGACACTGCAAAGAGGGTGGGTCTTGAAGAACACTCTCGATCTCAACGACTGAGTCCACGGCCTTAAATAAACTTATTTATCATTGACGGTAATCTTGTTGTCCTGTTGCATTTCAACAGATCAGAAATTTTAGCAGATCAGAAGTTAAGCGAGGGACTGCAAGATCTTCTTCGTGGGTCTGATCCTCGAATTAGGCCAAACTACTCCGGTATTGTTAGTCGGTTATTAAACCTGTTTATACTTTTTTCTTATTTGTGTGTGGCTTAATAAACAGTGATAATTTTCAGAGGAGGGGAGACTGTGACAAGTCGTGGTGGGGGCAAGGGAATGGGAGAGGCTTTTTTAAAAGAGAATTAAAATTCTCTTTTTAGGGGAAGCTTATGTCTTAGGGGAGTCATTCAGATATAGAACCTTAAGCTAGAGATGAGCAAGTTTGGAGTGTCTTTGTAATAGACATAAATATTTCTTTGCTAATTAGGAGTCAAGAGGAGACTCAAGTTAGAAGGCTTATGGGTAAAAGCTGAGTTTCTTTACATCAATTTGTTTATTGGCCTCTTGATTGATTAATGTCAAGTTAAGCTGGCTGGCCAAGACTGGTCAGCTGGTGCGATTTTTTTATAAATCCGGCTAGATAAAAAAAAAATATGAAAAATAACAGTTTAATGAATAAAAGATATTTGTATATGCTAAAACAGCGGATAGCGTTTTTCGCGCGCTCTGGTTGGCTGCTCAAACTCGGAAAGTCCAGTGCTATTCACCTCAGAGCGAAGCCAAACTCGCGTAAGTTACTAGCAGAATGGCTTACCGATTTGCTACTGTACCAAACGAAGAAATTTCACGAATAAACCAAGAAGCTGTTCCCAACAACAATGTGCGCTTTGGATAGCCATAAAACTGATATTTATAAAACATATCAGTCACTTAGAATGTGAATGTGCATGCTACAGCTGGCCCCCTTTTGAACATAACAAAATTTAAGTCTACATTACTCTACAAAGTCTATTGTAATACGTAAAATTTATTTCGATCATTTTCATTTTTCTTTTTTTTTTCTTTCTGAAGGAAATCCAGTTGAAATCCTAGTTGGTATTTCGGTGGCATCGTTTTCCAGCATCAAGGAAGTGGATATGGTAATACATTTTAAACACTTCGGGCTGAACCCCAATTTTCTTTAATTTTATGGTTATGAGGCTTATTCACGAATAAGCATATCAATTCTAATTTCATGCTATATGTATCATAGCAATTCCAACAAAGCTGATGGTTCGAGCCGGGTAATATTATCAATTAAGCCTGTTACATCAGTGTATTTTTAAATACTTTTTTAGGAATTCGGACTGGACATGTTTTTTCGGCAGCACTGGAAAGACCAAAGACTTTTCCATAACTTGACTTCCAAGATAACTCTTACCATGGGAACTAAACACCCTGCGGATTATATCTGGGTCCCAGACACGGTGTTTGTAGACGCCACCAAGTCATACATGCATAATGTGCTGACAACCAGTCACAAGATCGATATCTCAGCCGACGGTCAGGTAGACTGGGGAACAAGGTTGGTGTGTGAAATTTATTAGACCTTTATCTAAGGTGAGGTCTAAGTAGTGCGCGCTCGTGAACCAGCGTCATTTTGGAGGGAAAACGTAATAGCCGTAGTCATTCCACTACAGGTTTAAGCGAGAATGTCTTAGTGGCGGAAACAAGTTTATTTTGCGATCAGAAGAGGGCTTTTCTCGACTTTCTCACAGCCATCTGGCCATAAAATCCTTCTGATGGCCCTTTTGGGTTTTTACAGAACGAAATGACAGATTTCTCTACCCTTTTATATTATTCAACTAAAATTCCTACCCTTTCCGGGGGCCTCCCCTTAGAGGCCATTCTAGGGGTTCCCCCCCCCCCCCCGGGGGCTTATGTTTTATGTCTTGTGTATAGATGTAACTTGAAATGACTGAACGCGGGGTGTCTGCGTGAAGAAAATCTATACTAACTACAATAACCCTTTGTTAAAGATTAGCGTTCACACTCGGGTACTTATATAATAATAACTTGAGATTAAAGAAGCAGGCTACCGTGGTTTTAACATAATCACAAGTACTTGTGCGCATTAGATCATATATTTGAATGCTATTTTACGCCTAATAGATAATAAATTTTTATTATATTACTAAGGCAGTGTTTAATTTACATCACAGAGCAACTGTTCAAGCGAAGTGTCACATGGATTTTCGTACTTTTCCTTTAGATGAACAAAAATGTACACTCAACATTCTTAGCTGTAAGTAACAAAACTAACCGCACATTTTGTTGTTTCATTTTCTTCCTTTCGTTAACATTTTACAGGCAGCTTGCTTGTTTTTGAGGGAAGTACAGTGGAACCTGGTAAATACGGACACCAAAGGGACATGACATGGTGTCCGTATTATCCCAGTGTCCAGATTAAGTGGGCTGTCAGAAAATTCGTCACGGGCATGCACTTGATTTATTGAAGACTAAAGAAGGCAAAGAAAGGAAGAGTAAGAACAATGACTGCAGCAAAAAGCTAAGGAAGTGAAAATTGAGTAGCAGGAGGCGGATAACTTCAATAAAGGCTGACACTACCAAATGGTCAAACACATTAAGAAAGACGGGCGGACTCATCAAAATCAAACAAATGTAAAAAGAAAATCTGTCAATATTTATACAGGGTACAATGTCTACAATTAGCACATGATTGTGACAAAATAGACAGTCAAGGGCAGCAAGCTCATCATTTGCCGTTTCTGTTAGGTTCTTTGCAAAGATATTCAATCATATAGAAAGTGCTTTGAAAAACAGTATCCGCAAACCGGGGCGGGGTTGACGATATATGGGAGTTTGTGATTCGGGACACAAGAAATTGTCTGTTGTCCGTATTAACCGATGTCCGAATTAAGCATGTAAATTTTAGAGAAAAAATATAAGCTTTTCGTCTAAATAAACGAAACTTTTTATTATATACAGGTAGTCGTCTTAAGTGGTAAGCGGGTGGCCGTAGACTATGGCTCCGCTGTCTGTTGGGTACATCACCTTGCGCTATCGATGACGCTTACCTCAAGGGTGTTGACTAGAAAAAATATTTCAAAAAAACATAACGAAGGCAGCCTCGTTGTTGTTAAGGTAACTTAAACGTGTTTCTTTTTAGACGCATACCCCACCCAACATCTGATTTACAACTGGAAGACACCATCGGTCATGGTACTAGACAAAGAAATGGCGCAGTTTTTCATGAAGGATATGACCACTGTTGTACAAAGAGTCCAGTATGTCGCAGGTGAGTAGAAGTTTCTACATTATAACAATAATAAAATATCAAAGATAATAATAATAAATTAATTAATTAATTAATCAATATGATACTTTAATTATCTTCTCTCCTTGTGGGGATTTTCAGAGATAATCAACAAATAATCAAATAATTTCAAAGAAACAACATGATTAGAATCCCAACTGGTAGAAGACTGACACCGAAACTGGTTAAGACGGACACCGACGGCGCATGCAATAGTGTCCGTATTAACCGGGTGTCCGTATTGAGCAGGTTAATTTTAGTGAAAATGTTATGACCTTCTTTTTCGCTGGGACAAACAAAACTTTCCGTTATATACCAGTGTCTGCATTAAGCTGGTGTCCGAAGACACATGGTAGAAAGGGGTTCTACTGTACCGAGAACAAATCTAGCTACTGGTCAAAGCGGGACTTGAACTCGGGACCTCCGACTACAAGTCCAGCCCTCCGAACCGCTCGGCCAGGCTGCCTCTGATTACATCGATCAGTTCTCTTTTGACTAACCTTAATTTCATTTTCCTATCTCCTAGGAGAGTATTCAGTTCTACAAGCGACATTCACATTTAAACGGAGAATGGGTTTTTACCTGATTCAAATCTATATTCTTTGTTCTCTGCACCATGCTCGAATATATTGGCCTTATACACCAAGGAAGAGCAAAGGTATTAGTTGTTTTGTGAATAAGTGTATAGCTGACTTTGAGAACGTACAGCCGTGTAGGGATCCACAACGGAGATTCACAATCATGCGCAACCTCCTTCCCAACATTCTTCTCGCCCATCTCATTTTCTGGGGGAAAGACGTAGAAATTAGTAATCAGAAGTGTTTTCTGGACCCAATTCCATTTACATCCTTTCGCTATTTGATCAATGCCAAATACAACCCTAAGAATCATATTGAAGGGGTTGCCGGCTTTTCTTAACATGATGATTCCACGGTTGCAGTGCTCTTGCGCACACGTAAGATACAGCCGGCCTTAACGAGTAACTTGCAAGACTTGCCGTACGTGAATTCCTCCCTGGCAAGTTGCATCGCATGCTACTGAACCCTTACAAATAAGGACAGTCATATCACCAGTGGACAAGCAAGTCGTCATAAGATCTCTGTTCTACCAACTACGCTTCCTTTGACTGTTAGTATTTGCGACTGACCAGAAGAATACGTGTAACTGGAATTAGCTCTATAATTGAATTTCTTTAGTAAGGACTTATATTTAATCATGGACCCGATCAACTTCTAGTAACCACCCTAAAAAGACTGAAAGGCTAAAGTTTATGTACGCTGCATAAATTAACATTAACTGAATTATTAGATGCAAGAGTCTTGGGAGCAAATTTACTTTCCTTAAGACGCACGAAAAAGTTACTGGTTTAATCAAAGTCGAAATTGTTTTACCTTTTTAGACTAAAATATTTCTTCCCAAATAGAATATTTCTAGTCTTGTCACATTAGAAGAAAACATTTTTCTACAAAAATTCCTAGTCGACCTGGGCCCTAATAACCACTCGTAAAAGTTGTAGTACTCGAATCGTAACTTCCACGACTTGTATTTCGGTTGTGAGAGGACCCGGGGGGGGGGGAGGTTACTCTATACATTTTTAAACGGGGAGGCTCTACCCCTCACACCCCTTACCCTTCTTTAATATACCATGAGAAAAGGTACCCCTTTCGAGTACCTTCTATCCACATTGTACCTTTTTCACATACCTAGCTTAGAACTTGGCTTCCCTTGTAACTGTAGCCTGTAATTTAAAAACACTCGTGAAGACAAAACCACAGTTGCAACAAACCAGTGAGCGGTCAGTCGAATCTTTAGTAGACCTGGCTCAGTAAAAGCAATTCAATGCCTAATTATAAATTAAAACAGTAACCTGATCCTTTCAGAGGGAAGCTAAGAGAGAGAGAAATAAAGTGCATTTTTTGTAATTTACCCGCAATCGCTTCTTCGGTAACCAGAACGTTTTCTTGAACTGTTCAAAGCCATAAAATACATCGGGTAGCCCATCTGGGCCCTTTTACAGACCGAAATGACAGATTCTTTAACCCTTTGATATACCTTAAGCCCTGAAAAAAAGGTACCTTTTTCGAGTAGAACCTCCCTGTACAGGCCATTATAGGAAACACTCCCCCCCCCCCCCCCCCCCCCNNGGGTATTGGAGAACCTGTATAATTTCGTGAAAAATCACTGGCTGTATTCAGATATCGACTCAAGCTACAGATTTTGGGCATCTGTCAGTCACAGGACTGTAGGAAACTATTGATATTAAAATTTACCTTTATTTAATTTGTATTTGTTTTGTTTCCCAAAGAAAGGCATATGGCGGATCAAAGCACCATTCTTGAGGAATGCCGAACTCCGCGCTTTATCGTTAACAAGTGATGACAGCAGTTTCTATAGAGGAGGATTGTATTCTCTTGAAGAAGGAAAAAAGGAGCAAATCGAATTGAATGACGTAAGAAAGAACGAAGGATCTTCAGCGAAAGAGAAGGATGAGCTCGAATCGACGTCTGTTGACTTTGCGGCAAGGATTGCATTCATTATTGCCTTCGCATTGTTTAATTTCTTTTATTGGTTTATTTTAATTTATGTCGCATAAGTAATCTATTAAAGTAACTCTAGAACCCAATATTATGTATAGCTAAAATGAAGTCAAGTGGTAGCAAGTCTACATTGTTTACTGAAAACTGTAAACGTCAATTAAACTAATAAAGAACGTAATCCATTTACTTCTTACCTAGCTAAAAGTTTATGGTGACTTAAAAACCTTCGGGTTCTTTCTTTTAATTTCTAAGCGTTTTTTTGGTACACTGACTCTCGCGATTTCAGTTGATTTGTTGTGGAAAGTAGAATTCTTGTCATTCAAACAACACTGGGAGAAATACCGTATTTATTCGATTAACCGCCCTGGGGGCTTATTAAATTTTTGGACCTTGAGAGTGGGCGCTTATTCGAGGCTGGGTGCTTATTAAATTTTCAACATTTTCAACAACTGTAGTATGTTTACTTTGCAACAAAACAATAAATAGTAAAAACAAAAAGCGAAGATGTAACAAACCAAGGTTTCTGAAAAATACTCTGAAGAAAACTCCGTCTTCGGGGAGGTCTCTTAATGGTACTTATTCAATGTTTGGGGGGTGTGAGGGCAAAGGCGATGGGGTGGGGTGGGCGCTAATTCGAGGCAGGGCCCTTATTCAAATAAATAAGGTAACTAGTAGGGGCTGATTAAGAGCCCGGCTGGGTTGCTTTTCCGAGGTGACATGAGTGAAGCCAACCAGGAACCACGCCATCCCGTTTCCAGAGTCCACGGACTCTGGGACTATGGGAACGAGATTGGGATCCTCAATGTTTAAAGAGAGATTGGAAGCAGTGCGCATGAGCTGTGTGTTACCCGCTGTAAGGTTGTTGGTTTGGTTTTCCAGGGTTGCGAGAGTGATCATATGAAAAATTTCCAGCCCGGTTATCCGAGTTCCTCGTCATCACACATTCACCATACCGTGTTCCTGTCTAACCGGGCTGGCTTAGTTGTAATGTAAACAAGAAGCCGATTTTTCAGTGTTGCCTTAAAGTAACATGCCGACTCCTTGACAAATCGAACAAACCGCGCCGCTACCGACAGGGCCTGCCCAACAGACGGATCTAAACTCTGGTTAATTCCGTCTGCGAAATAGTGCCAAAATCCTCGTTCTGGGCTCCACTTGTGTACCAGGATTTGAGTACGTGCCGACCACGATTGACTCCTTAAAATGCCATTGTAAATTTGCCTATCAGGATGAAAGAACTAAATTCGAAACGAGTCCTTTCGGGACCCAGAACAACAGTATGGGCGCTGCTTCGTGGCTTCCAGTTTAGGTCCTCTTAAGGTAACTTAAACGTGTTTCTTTTTAGACGCATACCCCACCCAACATCTGATTTACAACTGGAAGACACCATCGGTCATGGTACTAGACAAAGAAATGGCGCAGTTTTTCATGAAGGATATGACCACTGTTGTACAAAGAGTCCAGTATGTCGCAGGTGAGTAGAAGTTTCTACATTATAACAATAATAAAATATCAAAGATAATAATAATAAATTAATTAATTAATTAATCAATATGATACTTTAATTATCTTCTCTCCTTGTGGGGATTTTCAGAGATAATCAACAAATAATCAAATAATTTCAAAGAAACAACATGATTAGAATCCCAACTGGTAGAAGACTGACACCGAAACTGGTTAAGACGGACACCGACGGCGCATGCAATAGTGTCCGTATTAACCGGGTGTCCGTATTGAGCAGGTTAATTTTAGTGAAAATGTTATGACCTTCTTTTTCGCTGGGACAAACAAAACTTTCCGTTATATACCAGTGTCTGCATTAAGCTGGTGTCCGAAGACACATGGTAGAAAGGGGTTCTACTGTACCGAGAACAAATCTAGCTACTGGTCAAAGCGGGACTTGAACTCGGGACCTCCGACTACAAGTCCAGCCCTCCGAACCGCTCGGCCAGGCTGCCTCTGATTACATCGATCAGTTCTCTTTTGACTAACCTTAATTTCATTTTCCTATCTCCTAGGAGAGTATTCAGTTCTACAAGCGACATTCACATTTAAACGGAGAATGGGTTTTTACCTGATTCAAATCTATATTCTTTGTTCTCTGCACCATGCTCGAATATATTGGCCTTATACACCAAGGAAGAGCAAAGGTATTAGTTGTTTTGTGAATAAGTGTATAGCTGACTTTGAGAACGTACAGCCGTGTAGGGATCCACAACGGAGATTCACAATCATGCGCAACCTCCTTCCCAACATTCTTCTCGCCCATCTCATTTTCTGGGGGAAAGACGTAGAAATTAGTAATCAGAAGTGTTTTCTGGACCCAATTCCATTTACATCCTTTCGCTATTTGATCAATGCCAAATACAACCCTAAGAATCATATTGAAGGGGTTGCCGGCTTTTCTTAACATGATGATTCCACGGTTGCAGTGCTCTTGCGCACACGTAAGATACAGCCGGCCTTAACGAGTAACTTGCAAGACTTGCCGTACGTGAATTCCTCCCTGGCAAGTTGCATCGCATGCTACTGAACCCTTACAAATAAGGACAGTCATATCACCAGTGGACAAGCAAGTCGTCATAAGATCTCTGTTCTACCAACTACGCTTCCTTTGACTGTTAGTATTTGCGACTGACCAGAAGAATACGTGTAACTGGAATTAGCTCTATAATTGAATTTCTTTAGTAAGGACTTATATTTAATCATGGACCCGATCAACTTCTAGTAACCACCCTAAAAAGACTGAAAGGCTAAAGTTTATGTACGCTGCATAAATTAACATTAACTGAATTATTAGATGCAAGAGTCTTGGGAGCAAATTTACTTTCCTTAAGACGCACGAAAAAGTTACTGGTTTAATCAAAGTCGAAATTGTTTTACCTTTTTAGACTAAAATATTTCTTCCCAAATAGAATATTTCTAGTCTTGTCACATTAGAAGAAAACATTTTTCTACAAAAATTCCTAGTCGACCTGGGCCCTAATAACCACTCGTAAAAGTTGTAGTACTCGAATCGTAACTTCCACGACTTGTATTTCGGTTGTGAGAGGACCCGGGGGGGGGGGAGGTTACTCTATACATTTTTAAACGGGGAGGCTCTACCCCTCACACCCCTTACCCTTCTTTAATATACCATGAGAAAAGGTACCCCTTTCGAGTACCTTCTATCCACATTGTACCTTTTTCACATACCTAGCTTAGAACTTGGCTTCCCTTGTAACTGTAGCCTGTAATTTAAAAACACTCGTGAAGACAAAACCACAGTTGCAACAAACCAGTGAGCGGTCAGTCGAATCTTTAGTAGACCTGGCTCAGTAAAAGCAATTCAATGCCTAATTATAAATTAAAACAGTAACCTGATCCTTTCAGAGGGAAGCTAAGAGAGAGAGAAATAAAGTGCATTTTTTGTAATTTACCCGCAATCGCTTCTTCGGTAACCAGAACGTTTTCTTGAACTGTTCAAAGCCATAAAATACATCGGGTAGCCCATCTGGGCCCTTTTACAGACCGAAATGACAGATTCTTTAACCCTTTGATATACCTTAAGCCCTGAAAAAAAGGTACCTTTTTCGAGTAGAACCTCCCTGTACAGGCCATTATAGGAAACACTCCCCCCCCCCCCCCCCCCCCC